TTTGTGCATAGTGTCAGATGTGGACCCTGGTAATAGCTGTTTTTGAGGGGCTAGATGGGAATCAAATCTAATCTGCCACCTGGAAATCAAATATGCCTCATGGAAGATAAGAGTTGTATAAACAAAACCATTGCTGTCCCCTGTAGATTCAGCCCTTCCACGGGCTGAGAGAAGACATAACAGATGATACAAAAGGCTTTTTACAATAGCTCAGCAGGTGAAAATGGGGGAAAAGAAGAAATAAAGAAAGCCTCCCTATAAAGCTAGTGTTGGTTCATGCAATATCCAATTCTCCAATAACCACCAAAAAAGACTAATTGGCCCCTTAGATGTAATGGGGGTGAATGGAAAGAGCTTGGAGACTCTTTTACCAAAGCTTTGCATGGAGTCAGCAAAGTACCACAGGATCAGCTGCTTACAGATTCAGCAAGTGTACTTATTAATCAGGAACTCAGTCACCCTGTTCAATAGCACTCTCCACCATTCTGCAAATGAATACATTGTGTGCTGCCAATTCAATACTATCCAGGCTGTCTCGCCTTTCCAAAAGACTCCCAGTCTTTGTTGGCGCTACAAGGAATGGCATGAATCATTTGGAATAAAAATGAAATGTGAGATTCTTAAGGCTCTGTCTCAGAGCTCATTGAGTGATCCATCTGACAGACAGCCTTAACGGACAGGACAATAGTTCTCTCCACCGGTAGTCCAGAGTGCGTCAGGGAAGATGAGGCCCCCAGACTGGAGCGCAGACAGACTCAAAGTGATTACGATGTTGCCACTCACTGAGAATTCTGTAATTAAGAAGGCTTACCCAAAGGGGATTTCAAAGGCTTTCCATCTGATTCTCTGTTTCTAAAACTGAAAAAGCCGATCTAGAAAAGCTACATACAAATTAATAATTCCAGATTAGTCATTTCCCCAACTGATTCTTGTTCTATGTATTCAATACGCCAGAATCCTATTTCCCTTGAAGGATTGAAAAAGACAACTCTGAGAAGTTCAAAACAGCTTTGAGAAACCTGGCTGCTATGTCTGATTTAGGGAGGTCTGAACATCTGAGAGCCCTGAGCACCAATGGTTTCCATGGTGACCACGAGAAGCCCAGATGCATGCTTTAATGAAATTGGCTAGTCAGCCAGCATTTACAGGGCAAAGGTTATGGGATATTCAAGGAAAACTCACCTACCACAAAGCTCCTTGGATGAAAGATGAATGGGTATAAAGCACGCCAAGCAATGCTTATCTTGGGAGACGGCTCTGAACTGCATGTCCCAGCGCCAAGACCTTTCTCAGACACAACTGTGTTCACTCATCATCAAAAACTTACAAAGTGTGTTCAGATTCTGTCCCCTCTTTCTGATTATAAACGGAGACCATCACGGGGCTTATAAGTGGGTGCTGCAACTCAGCCTAATCACCCACTCCTACGACTGGAAGATAATCTGGGAAATTCTTCAGAGGCTCCTCAGTGGCCTTATCGACCCAGCATTTTCAGGGAAGAAATACTTAGTGATCAGTTTCAGTAAAGATTACTGAAACAATCCTACCAGGTCTCTGTGACACAGAATTGAGTGGATGGCAATTTAATAATTGAAAATTCTATTTCGAGACCTTTTGAGGAACCTAGCTATGATGCGCACTTTCTCCACATCCTTCCTGTAATTTGCACCTCCACCAATCATTCTATTTTACTCTTTTCTGCCTTCAGGGCTTTATCCATGAGCAAATGCTTATCATGTCACCAACGGCAGCAGGCAGATTCAACCATTTGGGGTCAAAAGAAAAGTGTAAGTACATCGTTGTTGTTGTTATTTTGTACCATAAAGTCACAACCAACCCATAGCTAATCCTCTTTCAGGTTTTCAGAGGCGGCTAATCACATGGGAGGAGATTGCCCATTCTTCTCCCAAGAGTAGCTCATGGCTTTGAACCAACCACATGTCGTCGGGATTGCAATGCAGCTTCTTGCCACTGGTTACCAGAGCTCCCTAAGTACAATGTGGGTCCTGTAATTAATGTTATGAAACAAAATGTGAATGAATGATGGAATGCACAACTAACATGCTTTTTTAAAACAAAGTATTATTTATACTACCATTCATTTCTATACAATTAAGATACATATTGGTTTATTTCTGCACATTATCTTTTATATCATTAACAAATATAATCTGTAACTTTTTTCTCCCCATCTCCTCAAGTCTCCTTTGCACCTTATCTATTTCTTCACCCACCTTTCTCCACTAGTCTCTGCTATCCTAGTGATTCCCTCTTCCTTTTTTCACACTCCTCCCATCATCCCTTTAAACACACACACACACACACACATTTTAAAAAAACACACACACAACACATTTTATTATGACTTGGCTTTAACCATGTAAATTCCTTTGCCATTCAATAATTTCTACTCCTTTTGTTTTTGTAATATCATTTGCAATCCTCTCAGTGTAACAGCACTCTTCCCACTTCTTCTCCCAGTTTCCTGTTTCCATTTGCCCATCTTCCCACCTCTTTCCTGCCTTCTGAACGTTGCTTTTGATCTCATATGGTTGTTCTGAGGAATTACATTCCTTTTCTATACTGCTCACATCATAGGCTTGTCTGTTAACTCTGATGGATTTTGTGGCAAGGATTTGTGCTAGTAACTCAAAGACAAATAGTTTGAATCCAAGAGCTGCTTCACAAGAAAAAGATGAGCAATTTCCTCCTGTGCAACTTACTGCCTCTGAAAACCTGCTGGAGGGTCAACTATGGGCCGATTCTGACGCCACACTACACAACAGCAAATGACAATTTTGTAAGCTTTTCTCCCGCCATAATTTTTTTCTTTTATATTGGTTTGCTTACAAAGTTCATGTACATTGTTTTTCACACCAGATCCTTCCCATTTCCTTTACCCACCATTCCCTCCACCCATCAAATTGTGCAACCATGTGATTATGCCGCTGCCCGTCCTCACCCCAGAAGAGTTATATATATAATGATCTTATTTGTTAATTGCAATAGTCATATTGTCTTTGTCTCAGTTCTTCCCAGGTTGACTCTCCCTTGTCCTGGTTCTTGCACTGTTCTTTGTCTACCCATTACGTTTCTATTCTTCCCCTTCTCCTCCCGTCAGCTACTCTCCTATTATCACAAAAGTGGTGTAGTGAACTCTTTGTCCTTTTGTAACTGAGTTATTTCACTCAACATGATGCTCTCTAGACTCCTTCATGTTGTGTTGCACTTTACGATTACTTCATTGTTCTTTAGTGCTGCATAGTATTCCGCTGTGTGAATATATCGCAGTTGTTCTATCCATTCATTTGTCAGTGGACATTTGTGTTGTCTCCATTTTCTTAATATTGGGAATAGCATTGCTATGAACTAAGTGAACATATTTCTGTGTCTTGCCTCTGATATCCTTAGAGTGTATTCCCAGAAGCAGAAAGGTTGTGTCATATTAGATTTTTATGTTCAGCTTTTTTGTAGAAATGCCAAATTGCCTTACATAGTGGTTGTATCAAATAATAATTTTTTTAATGAAAGATTTTTTTTTCTCATGGGGAAAAAAGTCTGACTCTAGGACTTGCAATTGTTCTACCTTTGCCCATCATTGCTAGATTCTTGGAAATATCTCCAAATACCATTGGAAGATGTTAAATTGTTATTTTAAATACCCCCAGAAGTAAGTTTTAAACACCTAAAAATTAGGTAAATAATTAGGAAAAAATTCAGAAATCACTTTTCACTTGAGAAAAATAATTTCTATTAAATCTTAGAAATGGGTATGTTTTACGTAGTATTGGGATTCAAATTCTATCACACCTACTCCACATTCCTGCCACTGAAGTCAGAAATGTCATCTTTAGTAAACAGAAATTAGTTGAGGTTTTCCCTCTATTTTTAAAGGTTAATATTGCTTAGAATAAAGACTCACTAAGGCAATGGAAATTAGTACATGAACTTGACACAATGACTGCAATGCTGGGCTTGAGTATAGTGGAGATTGTGAGAATGTGGCAAGATAGATTACATTTGACTCTGTTGTTCATAGGGCCCCTCTGAGCTTGCATTAACTTAATGACACCAAACAACAAGATAAGTGAGTGAGCAGTCAGTAGTGAGGCAAGAGAGAAGCTGAGGTCATGAAGAGAAAGATGCAAAGCCCAGAAGAGTGAGAAGATTAGGCTTCTGTAAGAGAACTTAAGGAGCTCTAGTTGGCCTAGTGAGTAAGGAGCTACCAATCCAAAGGCATGCAGTTCATATCCACCAGCAGCTCTGTGAAAGAAAGATGGGCAATCTCCTCCCATGCAGTTTACTGTTTCTGAAAACCCATGGGAGGGTTAGTTAGCTATAAATTTGGTTCCAATTTGACAAGAAAACTTAGAAGCTGAGATGGGTCTGAAGGTACAGTGCTTTGAAATAAAATGGGATGAAGTAGTTGCAACAAAATAAATGGATTCACAACTTTCTGCTTACACCATTGTTGTTAGGTGTCATCGAGTCAACTTCAGCTCTTAGCTATTCTATGAACAGCAAATCTGGACCTTGGCCGATTCTGGCCATCTTCACAGTCTCTGATATGCTCAAGCACATCGTTACAATTACTGTCAGTCAGTCCATCTTGTTGTCAACACTCCTTTCTTTTTCTGACCCTCCACCTTTCACAATACAATTACTTGCACTAAGGGACTCATATTTCACTTTCAAGGAGAAACCTTATATATTTAACCTCTTTAGAAAATGTATGTTGAAAAAATCTCTACATTACCCTCTTGTGTTGTGACTCTAGAAATGGCATTTTAAGATAAGAAACGACTCAAAAGATACGAGTTTTGGCACCATGCCTATGCCGTCACTGACCGAAACAGAAAATACCAACATGCTTGACATTGAACTGTTCTAATGAAAACATACCTGAGAGGATATGTTTGATAATTTCCTATGGAATTAAATTAAATCAAGATAAAGCCATTGGATCACTCCCATTAGGTTTAAATAGATGCACTACTCACTCGAAAGACCTTCTCCACTCTTGCAATGCTTTTCCCAAAGATGGTTCCAAGTTGATCTCCAATTCCAGCCAGTAAGAAACCAAAGAGTGGAATTCCAAAGATGGCATATAAAATACAAAAGATTTTGCCGCCTTCAGTGCTTGGAGCAATATTTCCATACCCTGGTGAGAAATGTTTAAAAGAAAGAATGGTGAGGGTGGCAGTGAAATCATACTATGAAACCAAAGACGCCACAGGCTTCTTCCTTAAAAAGTTCTGGCTTTGACAAGCACTGTGGCAATTGGACAATTAAAACAGACATTCGGGGCAGGGGGGAAGAAGAACGAACTGGGGAGGAGGGTAGAGAAAACAGTGCAACAATGAATGAATGAAAACCCAAAATCTCTGTAAATGTTCATTAAAACTAATAAAATTTAATAATAATTTTAAAAAATTAAAAGGAAAAAAGTTCTACTTCTTAGGGAAAAGAACTTCAGCTCAAAGACCTCATGTCATTCAGCACATCTCTGGGTTCTGAGCATTGCTTCTCTAGACCCTCTCTTTGCAAATAATTTCAGAGATCTCTGGTGCTTTGTATGTTCTGAAAGATTTTGGAAAATTTATTTGCATTTCTCAGGGAAAATGGTGCCACATTTTAAGAAAGGTCAAACATCACGGGCTTGTCTGGGCATGCGTGGCTTAGGGAGCTCTGGACATATAAGAAGGGTTGACCACTACCTATTTTTAGATTGGAAAGTTCGTCTTCTCCTTTACTATCTAACTCAGTGAACCCTTCTACCTAGACCAGTTGTGACTGTCTTCTACATCTGCCTTCCTAGGGTGATGGGCTTTCTCAGAGAGGACATATAGTTTAGTATAAACTTCAAAAGAACTCAAGAATCATTGTTCCCTAAGCTAGAATAGTGAACAAGGAAGGTGGGGAGAAAATACTCTGCCTCTTTTCCCCACACTGAACCACTCCATTGAATTCTACCTACCAGTAACTCCATAGCGTCTAGGAGCTTGACCTCTCCTCCACTCTCTTCCTGCACCAGAAGTGAGGGCTATTTGGTGCTAAGTGATTGTTTGTTGAGGGATCAGATGTTTAAATACAAGAGAATCCTTTTACAGTCATGCTGATAAATACATATTTCAAACCAGGCTTTGGAAACACCAGCATCTGCATTCTTAATAGTTGTACAAGTCTATTAATGGACTTACACATTTTGAGTGTTTGGCCTCCTCAGTATAGATAATACTAAGGAACATTTTGCTGGGGGGAGGAAAGGTGTTACTTATGGTGTTACTACAGTCAGAGAGATGAGAGGCTAAATTAATTGATATTCATTTTCATTTCAATTAATATTACAATAGGTGCTAACTAGAGTCACTTAACTGTCCTCCTAATTTAGGTTGACACATGTTGAACTGGTTTCTGAATCCAAGTAATGACTAATTAATGGGTCCATGGTTATCAGCATGTTGTTGTTGTTGTTGCTGTTGTATACCATGGAGTTGGATTGACTCACAGCTGACCCTCCAGCAGGTTTTTGTTTCTTTTTTAATCTACAACCACATTTACTCAACATTATACTGTAGGTTTGACAACTAAAATACAAAAAAAGGAGAATATAAGGGTGCAAAATGAGGAATTTTTTTTTCCATTTTAAATCACTTCTTTTGGTACATTGAAGTTTCCAAAGAATCTGTAGGCAAACTACTAGAATTAAATGAATTAAGTCTTTGAGTTAAAGGAAAACATAAATTATAAGTTCCACGTGTTCCTAGTAATCTATATAGTTTAGACCAGCAAAGTAAATCTAAGAAAAACCACGCAATCAGGAGTCTCTACAGTGTGGATATGTGATACATGACAGGGACTTTTCAGGTTTGTGAGAAACCATCTGAAGAGCAAATATTGGTGTTTCTGAGTTTGGAACAAACAGGGAAGGAAAACCAAAATGATTGGTCCAGATGTTTAATGGACTATGACATTTCCACAACCGTACGGCCAGAAACTAGAAAGATAGTTCCTGATCACCCCTCTGAATACCGTAAAAATTATTCTATTATAAGATCCTGGACAGAGTGAGAGAAAATAGGAAGCAAAACCAAATGACCAGGCTTCCTGGCTTACTAGAGACTGGTGGAAATTCCAAGATCATGGCCCTTTGCTACAGAAGGAAATTCTCCTCTTTGCCTCAGTTTTCACCCATAGGACAGATTTAGGAGGTGATCTTCCTACAAGGTCAACACTAAGGGAAAAGAGTGGACTGAGTTCTGGGTTTCCCATTTTAGTTACATAATCCTTGCTAGTCACGGTCCTTGAAGAAGTTTCTTTCCTCGGCAAATGTCCATTTGATCTTGCATGATCTACCGTTCTGAGGAATGAGTACCCAGCGGGTTTTTAGATGCTGTAAGTCACACAGGAGGAGATAATCCATCTTTCTTCTGTGGAACAGCTGGTGAATTGTACCACAAGTCTGTGGATTGGCAGCCCAACTCCTTACCCCTAAGCCACCAGAGCTTCCTTGCTGACATGAGTGAAGTATAATATTACACAGTAGAAGTAATGCTAATGCTGGTACAACAGCACTGAAAGTATAATACTAAACTAAATAATAATACAGCACAATAAAAAAGAACATTGCTGGCCGGCCCATCATTCATCCCCCCTCTACAGGACTGGAAAACAGACCGTTTCTTCCTGTATTTGGGACTGAGTCACCTGATTATTTTCCTTTTCACTTTTCATTTCAGATTCATTCAAACCCCTTATCACAATTTAACTAAATTACAGTTTCCATATCTCAAAGAGATGTTCAGGCAAGTCTCCCTAATCTTTCATTTCTCTTTCTCACCGCCATTTCCATTTAATTCCACGAAGAAAGCTCTCGGAATTTTCATCCAAGTACTTTCAGCTGCTTGAACAAAAGCATTTTCCTAAGCATTCCCCTCTAAAAATCATCTGATCTATATCGGCACAACCCTATCGGTGAGCCTCCACACCTTAACTCCATACAGGCTTTGGATGAACCATGGAAACATTCTTGGGATTGGTAGAAACATTCAAGACTTTTATTTGACTGTTTTATAATTGCCTGGTTATAGTCAGGGAATACAGGTTTTCTTTTCGTTTGCATGTCTCAGAAAGGCACAGGCAAACAGAGGCTTTAAACCAGCAGAAGAGACATCCTAGTGGTTCTGATCTCTATTATACCTTCTTCCCGCAGCTTTTAGAGGATTCAGCCCACCTCTTGGACAAGGTACAGAGCTGAAGAAACATCGCCAATATTATTCAAGGAGTAGAAGCAAGAAGTAAGAAGATGGGGGCTTGAGTCCTGTTTCTGTCTCTTCCTTCAACCTGGTTGTCTTTAGATTCATGTAGTGGTGGTGGTGTTGTGTACAATCAAGTCAGAACCAACCCATAGCTGCACCTCCAATCAGTTTTTGAGGCAGTTAATCACAGGGGAAGAGACTACCCACCCTTCTCCCTCGGAGCCCCTGGTGGATTCGAACTGCATCCCTTCAGGGTTACAGCGCAGCTTCTTGCCACTAGGCCACTATTTATTATTGATTAAATCATGTTGTTCCTCCAAATTAAGTGTTTAAATCCTAGCCTGCACATAATCCTGCTTGGAAATAGGGTTTTCTTTAGTATGTTAAGGGACTTCTGGTGGCAGAGTGGGTAAAAAATTTCACTCCCAACCTAATGGCAGGTGGTTCAAGAACACCAACTGCTATATGGAAGAAAGATGGGCCATCTTCTCCTGTGAGATTTAGAGCCTCTGAAAACTTGCTGGAGGGTCAGCTATCAGTCAGTTCCAACTCAGAGGCAATGACGTTTAGAGGTTTGTTATGTTGATGAACCCTGTTAGCATGTTGCATGATAACATCTATTTGCTAGCTGAAAACTGCAGTTCGAATTCCATCAACTGCTCAAAGGAGAAAGATGGGCAGACTCCTCCCAAAAGACTTACAGCTTCAAAAACCTGGTTTCCTTGAATCTTTATCAACTCGGTCATACTAGAAATATTGTTGTTTATTCAGTCACACCCAAGCTGGGTGGTTCTAAATCTAATCACTTTTTTGTTATAAAGAGAGATTATTCATGAAGATAGGAACACCTGGAGGAAACAGAACTGTCATTTGCGGACCATTAAGGAAGCAAGAGCCAGCCAAGACTACCAATGAGAAAGGAAACCAATAAGCCTGGGGTTTAGAATTGGACTTTTAGCTTCCAGAACTGTGAGGGAAATTTATTCTTTTTAAAGCCATGTACATGATTTTTGTTGTTACAGTAACACTAGGTAACTGAGACACTGGTGATGAATGTGAAAAATAAGTGAACTGTGAAGTCTACCCCCTTTCAACTGGTATAGGTGTCACTGTCATTATTATTGATACAGTTTTGCTATAACAACAGGGAAATAGGTATGAAACCTGAGACTGGTATGTTTATGTTTAATACACTGAGTTGTGGTTAAACACATGAACACTCACGCACTCACATGAAATGCAACCTTAGGAATGGGGACTATCTTAATGTCTGCTATGCAAGGAATAATCAAACAAATAAGAATTTATAAACATCAAGTATATTTATACTTCAAATAATCCTCATTGCTGTCAAGTTGGAACTGGAACTGACTCAAAGTTGACCCTTCAGCAAGTTTTTCAGAGGCTGTAAATTGCACAAGAGGGGTTGTCCATCTTTCTTCCAAGAAGCAGTTGGTGAATTCAAACTACCTGCTTCTGGATTGGCAGTGCAAAGGCCTACACACTATGGTACTAGAACTACTAAATGTATTTCTAGACGTGTTTAATTATTATGTCACCGGTGCCCGTACCAAGGCCCTTGCTGTAATTTTATTTTAGTGCTTTAGTCTGTTAAAGAGAACAAATAAAGAGCTTCTTGCTAATTTGACCATCAATCTTTTCCAAGAAAATTCTAGAACTTGTACTTTGGAACTTTGCTCTGAGAGAGGAGAAACATCCACATTCAAGGCTTTTTGGCTCCATTTGTGCCAACCTATCTACTACCTATTTTTCCAAAATGTATGGTGAAATTTTGCAGTTCTGTTGTTGTTGTTGGGTGTCATTTAGTTATCCACAACTCATAGCGACCCTATGAACAGCAGGTCTGAACCCTGCCCTGTGCCAACTTCATCATCTCTAACAC